GATGCAGGGGTGTAAAGCACGCCACCACTGGACTCTAGAGAAGTGGAGATGTGTTCTCTGGAGTGACAAATCGCGCTTCTCTGTCTGGCAATCTGATGGATGTTTCTGGGTTTGGCGGTCGCCAGGAGAATCGGTACTTGTTTGACTGCATTATGCCAAGTGTAAAGTTTGGTGGAGGGCGGATTATGGTGTAGGGTTGTTTTTCAGGGGTTGGACTTGGCCCCTTAGTTCCAGAGAAGAGAACTAGGTGATGATGTATCAGTAACTATAGAGTTGCATTGATGTTTGTCTTTTACATCTGCCTGGTACTTAGCTTTAATGTTATGTATATTTATCAGCAGGGACCTCCATGATTCTATGAGCGCCAATCATGCATTCAAGAACCTACCTGCTATTAGAGCGGGATTATGAGGATCTGCAGGAGACCCCGCTCTATGTGAGTATATGAGTCGATGTGAGTATATGAGTCGATGTGAGCATATGAGTCGATGTGAGTATATGAGTCTATATGAGTATATGTGAGATGGGTCTATGTGAGTCTATGTGAGTATATGAGTCAATATGAGTATATGTGAGTATATGAGCCTATGTGAGTATATGTGAGTATATGAGTATATGTGAGTATATGACTCTATGTGAGTCTATGTGAGTATATATGAGAATGGTCTATGTGAGTCTATGTGAGTATGTATGAGATGGGTCTATGTGAGTCTATGTGAGTATATAGATATATGTGAGTCTATGTGAGTATATATGAGATGGGTCTATGTGAGTATATATGAGATGCATCTATGTGAGTCTATGTGAGTATATATGAGATGGGTCTATGTGAGTCTATATGAGTATATGAGCCTATGTGAGTATATACAGGTGAAACTCGAATAATTAGAATATCGTGCAAAAGTAATTGCAGTAAGTGCTGCAAAAGGGGCCCAAACCAAGTACTGAGTACATATGCATGCTTGTACTTTTCAGAGGTCCGATATTGTTCTATGTACAATCCTTGTTTTATTGATTGCATGTAATAATCTACTTTTTTGAGGTTGTGGATTTGGGGTTCTTGGGGTTTTCATGAGCTATAAGTCATAATCATCCCAATTATGACAAATCACGGCTTGAACTATCTTGCTTTGCATGTAATGAGTCTCTCTCATACATTAGTTTCACCTTTTAAGTTGCATTAGTGAAATAAATGAACTTTGCACGATATTCGAATTATTCGAGTTTCACCTGTAGATATACGTGTTTATTTTAGAGGATGTGTCACAGGAGTGGGCAACCTCGGCATTGCAAGAATCAATATAACATCATTGCATTGAATACTTCATCCCAACATTTCAAAGTAACCAATGGAACCACTCAACTGTCACTGCCAACTGCAAATGGTTTTAAAGGGACCGGGTCAAGTCTCCAAATTCTGTAAAGCCAGCCCCCCCAATACTTACCTCTCTATTACATTACATGTCCTACCTCTTCTCTGTTCCAGCACGGGAGCCCCCTTTAGACCCTGCGGCACTTGACTTTTCTGGGAGTGCTGGATGGCTGGTGCTCCCACCATGCTCTGTGGTTCCATCCTCTGATCCCTAGGTCACAGTCCTAAACTAGAATGGAAGGTGGCTTTATGTATCACTGAGGAGGATACTGGCAACCAGAGGGAATTAGCTAAGCCGGAGAGTAAGATATACACGATGAATGCCGGAATAAGAAGCAGAAGCGCTGCATGTAGATTGTCTTCTGAGCCACATAAATAAATAGGACTTTATGTTTTACTT